ATAGAAAATTTGAAACAATCTATTTGATTAAAACACGTATTATATAATATTATTATGTTTGAAAAATATTTACTATACATATCGTAAATATGTGATTACTATAATATATACTAATTTACAAGTGAAAACAAAATGTTTATATAACTAACTATAAACGAAAACAAACATCCGCGCGGTTGCGCGGGTCAGAATCTAGTTTGTAGTTAAAAATCAATATATCGTAAATAGGAAAATTTTTGAAATAGAATATTTATTTATATCATATTAGATTTTTATATCCTCAAAATCTTCGTAAGATTTGAGCGGCGTATTCATATAAATCAAAACCACTAATCTATGCCCACATGTAGATAGTCAAATAAATTCAGCCGTTTTTATTGATATCTTAAGATTGTGTTTGTGTTTTAAGCTTCGCTATATGCTACTCCACAATAATGGATGGGTCAAATTCTTTTAGCAGTCAAAGATATATGATGATGATGATTAGTGTTAATCGCTATAAAAAAATGTGAAATCGATCAACTTGATTAAGATGAATAGTAACCGTACGATGATGGATGAGAGATGGTGTTCTACCTCGGATGCTCATTTCCCACGCACTCTCATCCTCTTTATGTCACCATATGGGACCTATAGCCATCGATCGCTATGTCTTGTTTCTTCCTTATGGGACCGATCTTTCCAAGTGATCACCTTCATATCATATAGTACTAGAGGAGTGGGCAAATGTCTTTTTCTTTTTTGAAAAAGGGCTCAAATGTCTTCTTTTTTTCCCGTTGTGATCCAAATTAGATATATATGATCCACCAAATCTAAAAAAAAATTAAAACATCGATCTTACTCTGAATTTAGCACAAACTAACATGGATCTTACTCTTACACAAAGCAAAATCATGTACTATATTTGTTAAGGGAAAAACAAAAAATAACGCTTGGTTACTAAATATTATGTTCGCCAATTTACGCTGCATATTAGAAAGAATTTACTCCACATGTATGTGGGAAAAAAACGTGGCGAAACCAATATTTTAAAATTTTTCTTTCCTTTTCAATTTTTTCCTTCGGTTTTATTCTCAATTCAACTTTTGTCCACCAATTACACTCATACGCTATTTCGAAATTTAAACATATATATAGTGACACCTTGGACCAAGACTGTTTATTTTGATAGGACGGCAAAAATTTATGTTTTATTTGTTATATAAATTCATGCTATATATTTTAGTCTTTATCATAAGTTATAGCTACTTATGGGGTTACTTATGGGTTTTGAGATGTATGTTTTAACGTTTATCTCAACTAATTAAGACAAGTGATTGGTTCTGTATTAGTGTTCTGCATTTTAAACATTGTTTATATAATCAAGGTTACTATTAATATTTTTCGGGAAGAATCAATCAAATTATATCAGATGTACGTAGAATGCAATAGTACTCAATAGTGCAGCTCCACCAATGATTTTTAAAACGAAAGTAGGGAAACTATTGTCACATACCAACTACAATACTAACCTACTGGTTGCGTAGTTGTCTATATGTAATATACAGTTGGTCTATTCAGAATCTAATGTAAAAAATTGTGGATACAATATTTTAGTTACATCTGAACGTTATATTATTAAACTGTATTTGTAAATTAAACACATGATGAAGTAAAAGCAAAGACATGGCCGGAGAATGTTTAGCTCATGATGTGCTTGCATAAATTTGCATCAACTCATGGGGATTTAAAGTTCATAGAGACACAAATCACACTGACACATCGGTTTTCTGAAAAGAGACTTCTGTGAAGACCGGGATTTGATCTAAGGACCATATCCACACATATGCATCATATATCAGATATATTGCTTTCATTTACATATAACTTTTTTTTTTTTTTTGGTCAAACATTTACATATAACTTTATACAATTTTGTTTATGCAATTTTTAAACGTTGTGTCGGGCGAAGAGAGGATGACTAATTCATATTATTACTAAAGAATTGGTTTGTTTTTGTTGGTTTACTACTAAACATTTTTTTACTACTAAACATATGTTTCTTTATACAAAACAAAAACTATTTTATATTGATTTATATTATATATAAGCTTTAAAAATATAGTATTATCTTTCTTAATATCTCTTACCCCTTAGCATACTCTTTATTTCGTTTTATTTTTGATAAGGTGGAAAATATCATATTGTTATCAACCTGTACATGTGATTCATTCACAAAGAATCATTGGGTTCCAAATGTAAACTGTGATCATTATACTTCTCATAATCACGACCATATTCAAAGGAAAACTACAGCACAGAAAAGAAAACTATTGACAAAAAAAACACTATAGGTTTTGAACCAAAGATCTAGTGTATACAAGAATGTAACTAGCAAGAACAACAAGGCTAGCTGTTATAAAAGAACCTTATAGGTTCAGTATAAATATGATGATTAATCGGTATATCAAACTAATATACAAGCTTGATATAGATTAAAACTTGTGGTTGTGGAGGTCAAGAAACCGGTATGAGAGTTACTATATCAAACTAATGGATCTTCTATTCAAAATCAACAAGAAGGAGTCGAACAATATAATATATCTATACATTAACAGAATTAATAAAGAGTTTTTGGGTTGACCGGTCAAAGTTGTTTTAGTATTTTCAGTTGCTTTAGTAGACAAGTGACAAAACTGGAATTTCTTGGGCACTAAAAAGAAGATAAAGCAGATCGTGTTGATAAGAGAGCTCTAGCAATATGAATCATACTTCAATCTATCTCGACATGATGTACTACTACTCATTATCATAGTTTATAGAGTGATCGCTATCGCAATTTCTATATATATATATATATATATATATATCTTACCTTGAAATGGATAAAAACCACTAATTATATTATTCTTCCTGTTCAACCTGATTACTAAATACTTAAACCAAGTTTAGTGTATAAAAATGCTAATTCAAAATTTTGATCTAACAGCTTTGGTCTGATTTATCCGAACTCCGAAGTGGATGCTAAATTACTAATTGCTAATGATGCAAAACTGAGATTTTTTTTTTTTTTTGATAAAGGGCGCAAAACTGAGAATTGCTCACAGAAATGTGATAATTTTTATTATTTTCTGCTTGTAATTATTTTTCTTAGATGATTATTGTACCGTTGGTGTGTGTGGTTGATGGTCTAAGCAATTGATGAAGTCCAATCTTTATTACTTTTTTTGTTAAATCAACGTCTGCATCATCGAGTTGGTCCATCTGATCATAATTATGTTTGTAAACTGTTGGTCTATATTTGCACTAGTGATCGGTAAACAAGAAAGGACTAGAATTCTGTTAGAAGAAATTAATTTGGATTAGTTAAAAAAACGGATAAGCAAATTGGGTTTCCACCGGTTTTGATTTACTTATTGTGTATTAGTTTGTTTGTGAATTTTCCAAAACTAATCGTGTATATGGAACTAATTAAAATTATAAATAAGTTAAGTCCTAACCTAGGTCACATTTTGCAAATGGACTTACACTTTTGGTTTAAAACACATTATAGTTCCTACCAAAAAAAAAAACACATAATTAGTAATAGGATTGTTGATAAATTACGTCAATGCGGATTGTACAAAAGAGACATGTGAAGCGAATAAACAAACCCTAATTTCTTAATTATAAAACATTTCTAATAAGAAACCTGGAAATTTCCGGACAAATATTCGGTTGTGGGGCCAAGAGCAGAAGACTTATAGAGTGATTGGCCGGTGGTATAAATGGGACCCATATCCCGGATATTGCATGACACTTGTCGGCAACAAATGAATAATTTGGAGGAAATCGAGGGAAATAGCTAGAATGATAAGCTAGAATGTTTCAAAAAAAAAAAAAAAAAAGATAAGTGAGGGCAAGTATTTGCTGCCTGATAGGTTTTGCATGTGGTGTCTCACAATGTACTTTAATCAAAACATTTTTTTTTTTTAAGTTTCATTCTACTCTGACAATATCATTAGAATCAAATTTCATTCTAGTCTAGTTTGGTTGTACACATATAATATCTAGGAAGTAAAAAACATACGATCTAAACTACACATTCTTATACACATTTTAGTGTATGTCATATATATGTTGAAAGATAATTTTTTGTTTATTTTAATGGTTTTATCCAATACGATTCAGCTTTATAATGTACACACCTATTTTTGTTAAAACTATTTTACTGTATTAGAATATTTAGTTTGTTATCTTAAAGAAGAAATTTGAAATCATATATTCATTTATATTAGTAGGGTGTTATTTCTTTTTAAAGGTGTTTAGTTTGTGTTAATCTATGATTTATCATCCTTATATTTGGCACATATATATATAGCGTTCTTTTCTGCTGGTCTTATGCTTTACGAATTTATATACTCGTCGACTATGTTTTAATGTTTATGTAATTTTGGTTAGAGTTTGATCATTAATACTAATCTTCTGATTAAAAATAAAAGTCATCTACTAGTGGAGAGAACTCTAATCAAGACAAGAAACGTGTATAAAAGAAAGAAAAAGAAGATTTAGGATCGGATTAGAGATTTGAGGCGCAATTTCCAAAGGACCCGCATATATTCTTGCCTCCATCTTCAAGCAAGGCATAAAAGTGTAGATTCCCATGCAGCTCTTTCTTTTTAGCTCTTGTCGTTACTTTATTTTTTTTCTTCTTAAAACTTCGGAGCTTTCTTTTATTTATTTCCCACTTTACCGAAAATTTCTCTCCATTTAAGAAAATAGATTCGTTTTCACGATCTATATACTCTTTTTATCCACTGGGTATTATAGTGAGTAAGAAATACTCAAAACATATGACCTTTTTTTCTTCTTAAAACTTCGGAGCTTTCTTTTATTTATTTCCCACACTCTAGTGAAAATTTCTCTCCATTTTCTGTTTCTTTTCTATAAAGTTTTCTTTCATCTCTATGATATCTAGCTAGTTTCTCAAAATCAAATTATCACATATGCTTCATTACAAACTGCAGTTTAAAATGTACTACGACTTAACAACTTAAATAAACCGTCTCAAAAGAGAACTTCCCCTCATTAAAAAATCATCATAAACATCAGTTAAGAAAATAAAACAATTTTTATTTTATATGAGGTTATGAGTTCTGATTGAAGTCAAAATAATTTTTTTTTGAAAACAAAATTGGTATTTTTTTATTCCGGAAATTTATTGAAAATATAAAAACAATGCCATCATCTTACAGAATTCTCATTTGATAATTTTTGTTTGTAGGATATTTCATTTTCACTCGTGGGCCTGTAATAACTTTATCACACTGTGTGAAATTAGGCCTATGGGCTTTAACTACACAAATTGATATTCTTAAGAAATAAACAGTCAACAAACTGTGTTCGAGATAGTTACACAAAGAAAAGAAAAAACTATGTTCATATTTTTTTACAGTTTGGGCTCCATCAAATGTTTTACAGTTTAAGTAAACAATCAAGATAATAGAACAACCAAACTGTCATTCACTCACATTATTCTAAGAGAAACCTTCTGATCAGCCGGCCCAATAACTCTTCTCTCAAATGGTTAACTAGATCTTGTACAGTCTCCTTCACATCAGCTAACCACAGCCCATCCTGATAGTTCATGTAAACAGATTTGTCGGTTGGTGAATGCTGTACACGTCCACTTCAGTGTTAATCCTACATTCACAGTGGCCCCGTCTATTTTTATCATAATAATATCGTCTTTCAAACCGTATAGAATGGAACGAAATTCAGGCCCATTTCTCGTTTTTGTTGGGCCTTATCAATTTTTCGGCTCTGTAATATGATGATGTCACCGTAGTAAGTGAATATAAACTATTTCTAGTCTGTTATTCCGTTTGAAGCAAAAAGCACAGAAAGAGAGAGACACTCTGTTTTTGTAAACTTTTGCTACAAAAAGACTAAAACTTGTCATCAAAACCATTCAGATCTGCTGTAAGAGCTTGTTTCATCTTATCTTCAGAACTAGGGCTTTCAGGTTGCGGCTACAAGCAAAAAGAGAGGGACAAGACAATGAAGCCAGGTATCTCTTTTCTCCTTCCTCCCTTCTTTGCAATTCACTCACGAAACTGATGTTATGATAGTAACAGCTACTCCTGTAGATGATTGTGTTCCAAAGTTCTTCAGAGTGTACATGCCTGCTATATCTGGAGATGATATGGTAAAAACAAAGACTTCTCTTCCCTCTGTTTCTTTTTGTTCATTACAAGTCTGTCTCTAGATATATAGTTAGGTTAAGACATGTATTTGCTTTTGTAGGAGTTACCTGTGTCTTTCAACAGCTACTTACCAACGCCTCTGCCTAAATACGTAATCCTTAAAAGCATTTATGGGAAGATTTGGAAAATGGCTTTGAGGAGATGCGGTGGTGAAGTTGAGAGATACGTTCTGGTTAACGGGTGGAAGAGGGTCACAAAGGACGAGATTCTGACCACTGGAGACGTACTGGAGTTTGAATTCGATGGCTCAAAGTGTTTCAACTTCTGTATCTACGAGCCTCTCACCATGTGTAAGAGGCTCAGAAGAAGTTCAGTGCAAAGCGAAGAAGAAACTAAAGATGATGATGATGATGATGTTTTAGTTCTTAGTGATGGTGATGATGATGACGATTCTGAAGATGCTGATTACAATTGTGCTGATGATACTGATGTTATTCTCGAGGATGTTGTTGCTGCTACTGATGATGATGATGCAGTGCTTGATGGTTCTGCTACTGCTACTGATGATGATGATGATAGACAATATCTGGATGATCGCAGCAACGCGTTTTTTCCAGTGAAAATAAATCCGAAGAAGATAAGCCAATTGGTAAGAAACAAATACATGAATGTTACAATCTTTGAGTTATGTTTTTTTTTATTATGTGACTAATAATCAGTTTATGTGATGTTTCTTTTTCATGATTTACAGCGCATACCGTCCAAGGTTATAAATGACTACGGCTTAAAATTCTCTGAGAGTATAACTCTCATTGATCCACTTGTGAACAAGTTCGGGAAGCTGACCAGGAAAATCAAGATTCAGACGAATGGCTGTGTGTTTATCAGAGGGTATGGAGCTGTTATCAGAAGGAATGGTGTGAAGTCGACGGACAAAATGATATGCGAGTTGGAGAAGGCGGGTAATAACAACTTGGTTCACACCATCAAGTTCCATGTTATCAAGTAGACTGCTCATTTTATATGAGTCACGTGAGTGTTATCTAGTGTTTAAGGTTATCTTATCTTGTTTAGTTGTGAAGTTTAAATCAAGACTGTTGTGGTGTGTTGAGTTTATGTACTGTTAGTGGTTATCTATTTGTTTAAGTATTCAAGTTAAATCAAGACTTTGTTATGTGTATTGACTTGAAAGAGTTTCTAGTGTCTGAATTTTAATCAGATCTGTCTGATTGTTGTGTTGTTTTGGCTAGAAAAATAATATTCCCTCTTGTCTACAAGGGAAAGGTTGCCATTATCTTCATACAAATAGATTGCATTAGACTTACATTGTTTGAACAAGGATATTATCGCAGAGACATTATAGTATTATAGCAAATAGATTTTGGTTTCTGTTTTGTTATTATTAGTCTTCACTCTATATTACATACAATGCGAACCAAACAATGGCGAATACAATGCAATAGATTTTGGGGTTGGTCTTCCACAGTCTGGTCCAAGTTATTCAAACTTTTAGCACTGTTAAGAACCTGCATGTTCAAGTAAAGAAGAATGGTGTTACTTAAAAGTTTTAAATGACCTTTAATAAACTATTGACAGAAGAACAGAAGATACGAGAAAAATGGTACAAAACTCTGCCTTATTCTTCTATTCACTAAACATTTCTGATTTCTCATTCTCCTTTCAAGTTTGATCCATCAAGAATCCTACTACTACAAGCATCTCAAACTCTAGGTATCTTCCATCAAAATTGGATTATTTTCTTGTCTATTGTAAGCGTAATGCGTTAAACAGGAGGAAACTGCAGCTTGTGTTGCTGAACAAAAGATGAGCCCTATGATCTTTCTTTCATACCTTGAGTTTGGTGGAGGAAGCAGGTATGCTTATGGTGGTGGTTGTGAGCGGTTCATGAGATGGTGGTGGTGTTGCTGAGATACGTGATCAGATGGGTGGATGACATAGAGACTGGGCATATTCAGATTGAGGAAGGGCTGAGAAGGATGATGAGTAGTAGCAGTGGATGAAGAAGGTGGGCGTGTAGCTGAGAGTGAGAATCCTGATGATGCTGCATTTGAGTACAGTGGCGATGCAATAGCTGTTGTGGCATCTTGCGTTTTCCATGTCCTGGCTGGGAAGCTTTGAGGAGGAGAAGCCGACATAAAAACTTTCTCTGGTGCTCTTTCCTGGATACAAGGAAATGAATTTTTAGTATTATTATTCATTGGCATCTTAAAGTTTTCCATTTTAATGATGGTATAGACCTAACAAACAAAAACATAAACTCTGCTCAAAACATAAAAGAGCTGTGTGCTATGGTGTTTACCATGGGTGAAAAGAACGCGGGAGGATGGTCATGGCGGTTGATAAGGTGTTCGGAACCCCTCTTCAACAAATTGAAAGGAGTATCACATGTTGCTGCAGCCATGTGGTTCTCCACCTGTAAGGCAAGGAAGAACCATGGGGACTCAAGCTAGTTAATGGGAGAGTAGCTATGATTTGCAGATGTGTGATGTGATATGGACACAGAAACATTTGACTAACGGTTGCAGCAAACACATATGAAAGTAAAGTAAAGCATAAGAAAATGCACCATGGAGTTCCTTCCACATAGGATACTGTTAGGGGCATGATGAAGCCATGGAGCCCTTTCTGTTTGCTTTGGACTATCTCCACGGGAAAGGGAGTTTCCCAAACTGAGGTCGAGCTTAACATTAGCTATATAAGAAAAGTAGAAAACACATTAGCAAGTTAGTATTAGCTTCTCACATACTGCAAATAAACATCAAAGATGGCAGCGAAACCTGCATAGCAGGGACCAGTTAATTTAAATTACCTGACTCGGGAATCATCCGAGATGCATGAGGCTCAATTAAGGAAGCAACCTCCCTTCCACTCCATTTTGTCGCTGTCTTATTATAAGCCCTGATTCCATCAGAGTCTCTAGTTATAAACCATAATCACAAATAGGTTTTCCTACTAATATGGTTCTATACCTACTCTTTTTAGACAAGCACATTGAGACAAAACCACAATGAATATATCATGTTTAAAAACCCAAAGTCAGATTCTGAGAGAAGTTTATTACATGTTTCCACTGAACTGATTCATTTGAGCTCCCCACCCGCCAATCTTTTGCATAGCAACTTCTTGATATCTTGAATTGTTCCTGGAGAAACCAGAGCTCTGTCGCCTAAGTAGTTGCACAACTTCCTCTTTGGAAAGATTCGCCATCTGTAAGAGTTTCATAAACACAGATAAGAACACATCAAAAGCATTCATGCCTTCGTTACATTTTCTACATTCAGTAATCAAAACCTGTTTGAGATCCTCTTCATAGTCGCTGATAATGAAATTGATGTCAGCCTCCAGTCCCCTGAACTTGACAGCAGCTCGATCATACGCTCTACACAAGCAAACGTTGAACGTTAGAGAACACCCATCTTATTATATCATAGTTTGCAAAAGTGTTACCTAGCTGCAGCATGAGAAGTGTCAAATCCACCTATAATATTAAAAAATTGAAGCTTAATTAGAGAGTTAAAAAGTAAAGCAGAGATCATCCCAGTGAAACCAATAGATTAGAAAACATACCTAAATAAACTTGTTTACCACAATCCCTGCAACCATGAAAAAATTGACAAAAGAAAAAAAGAGATTATTACAAGATGTCAAGTCTACCATGTTCTGTCATAAGGAACAACATATCAATCAGACAAAAGTGATTTTTTTACCAGATATGAGACTCCCATCTCCCTGTCCTCCTGTAGAAAGTAACACCTCTATACTGAGAACTCTTAGACCTAGGTCCTCTCCTGCTTTTCTTCACCGGCTGTGCCGGTGGCTGCATCACCCTCACAGTCACAGCATCGTCCCCTCTCTTGGAGTTGGAACTAACAGGAAAAAACTCCTTAGTCATCATCATCACATCACTTCTATCTTCTTTTTCACCTCCTTTCAGTATTTCAAACTGAAACTTGACGGCGCGTGTGGAGCAGAGCTCCTCCTCTTCACCGTCGATGCAGCTTGACGCCTCCGCATTGATTAAGGAAGAGTTCGAAGTCACGGATTCATCCATCATAGTCAACTCAGGCGTCGCAACGTCGAGATTGAGATCAAGCATCATTCTCAAAAGTCAACAACAGGAAAAAAAGAAGCTGATTAGGACATTTGATCAAAGGTCGTAACAACCTCTCACTAATCCGACCAGATCGAAAAATCACAGTAGGACAGGATTAGATTCTGAATATTAACGGCCAGGATTTGCGGAGGATAGTTGCTGAGAGGTTTGAAAGAGAAGGTGAATAGCTTTCTTTTGCCGGAGGAATGAGATGAGATTATCGTCGGCGAGGGAATGATGGGACGTAAGCTATGTGGTTAAATAAATAAACTATTATTTATTATTCGTTCCATCTTTCTCGGCAATTGGATAACCGGTTATGTCGGTTTCCAGTTCCATTTGGGGGAAAGACAACTAGACAAGTACAGACGTGCTATTGAGGATCTGACTCGTTCTCCTGCAATCATCCGCAAACGCAGTTTTTGTGGTTGGTAGCGGTTGTTGGCATTTTGCAACAATCACAGATAATACTATAAACTGTTCTTAATCTCTAAAATTCAAAAACTGATTTCAGCTATTGTTTCCGATTGCAGGCGATTGCGGAAGGATAAAAAGTATTTTTTTTTTCCAAAAAGCTATATAAATATAAAAATAAAATATTCACTTAAAATTTTAAATTAAAATAATTGAAATACTGAAAATTTATATTATAAAATTTCAAAAAAAACCTTTTCTTTAATTTTTAAAAATTTAATAGTGCACTTTTTTCAATAAAAAATTTATATTTATCATGAAAATATGATTATTTTGATAATTATATAACATATAAATATTGTTAATTTATTATTTAGTCGCTGTTGTATTTGATGATAAACCAGTCATAAGTATCTTGCAAACACATCAATTTTTAACTATTGAACCAGTCGTATAAATCTCTTACTAACGCTTAAAATCGCAATCTTCCGCATCCGCATACGCCCGCAATCGCAACCGTAATCGCTGCGCTATAATCAATCAGACCCTTATTTTATCTTTTACTCTTTTTCTTTTTATATAGAATAGTTAATTACATAACATAATGAGGCATGATTAATAAATTAATAAGATATTTGATTTATTTACTGAACCAAAATATGTCATTAAATACTAGTACTTCTTCTCTGTTTTTAAGTTGTAAGTAGTTTTAGTTGGAAAATATCAACTGTAAGTTAACTAATCATAAAAAAGTTTGCATTAATTCATTAGTTACACAATATCCAATAAAAAGAAATTTTGTATTAAACTGTGAAAATTACTTCTATTGTGAAACAAACAAAAATATTTTAAAACTATTTCTATTATGAAACGGTTGGAGTAGTTTCTCTGTTTCAAATCATATGTTGTCTCAGATTTTGTACGTACATTACAAAAATAGTTAAATTTCCTATTTTACCTTTATTTAATTATTAAAGCTCTATTGTATTTATTATTTTTATTATTTATATAAGGATAAGATGTAAATAATTTTGTATTAAAATCCTAGAACAACATTTCTTTTGTAACAAAACTTTTATTAAGTTATTTAATATATAAAGTAAAATGAGTACAAAGCAGATATCACGAAAAATTGGAGAAAAAAACGAATCTACTCATTTACATCTGAAGACAAAGCATTTGTGTTTCATTTATGGGCGGGTCCTATGTTTGCAGGTATGTCTTTCTCACCTAAAGCAAAAGGAATATATATAAGACCATCAACAATGGTTTTAACACCCTTCCCCTTTTCAACACCCTCATTTTCTCCTTTTTACATTCCACATCATCTTTTCTTTTTTCCACCTCATTTATTCAACACCTACTTCCTTCTAAACCTCTACAATGGTTTGTTTTAAAAATTCAACACCGTACCCCACAATTTTTAATCATATTTTTTTCTAACAATATAATAATTATATATTCATAATTAAATTAAAAACTAAGATAATATATAAATAGCGAGTCTACACTAAGGGTAAAGTACTAAGTGTACACTAGCGAGTGTACACTAGCACATGTACAATCAGTATACAGGGTACACTAGCGCGTGTACAGCCAGTGCTGAGTGTACACTAGCGAGTGTACACTTTCAACATCCACTTTATTTTTTACCTCTAAAATAATTTGTTTTAAAAAATTCAACATCCTACCCTACAATACCATTTTTAAATCATGTTTTTTATTTTTTTATTGTATTTAACTTAAAAGTAATACTAAATTTATTATTATTAAACAATTGAAATCAATTTTTAAAAAATTAAAACATTAGTATAGTTGATTATAATGAAAAAATGAAAATATTTTTTATGTATCCAAATGAAATGAGAGTAGTCTCTATCTATAGATCATAAAAAAATATAATTTTTGATATAATTTTTAAAAAAAAATTCTATTATAGAATAAATAAGTTTGAAATATTAGGTGAAACTAAAAATCAGAAAAATATGTCTAACAATTTCTTCCAATCCAATAACGCCATGTGGCAAAGCTGTCCCACAGACAAAAGAGTTTCAACTGTTGAAACTTATCAACGCATCTTGATGCCACATAGGTTTACTCAAAACTTCGACACCCTCATTGGAAGATGTTCAACAGTTGAAAACAAGTTTCAACATCTCCATTGTGGATAGTCTAAGACGAGAACATCATGCTCAATCACCAAGGACAGTCAAATATAGTCCACTTTAGAGCAGATTTATAAGAAAAATCATCAGATTCAGTACCATTGTTAACTACATCATATGATTTGTACAAAATTAAAACCATTGTTAGATCTGTGCAGTTTGAAAAAATTGCATGTACATCAATTGAATGTTATTTTCTTTATAAATTATCATTGAATGAGTAAAGCACATGTGATTTGATACAATGATGTTTTTTTTTTGAAAAATGATACAATGATGTTGCGATCTTCAAGTTCTACAACAATGAAATTGGTACTCTTTTGTTGCATACAAACGACAATAAACAAAGTTCTACAACACACATATATAGTTGAGATGAGTCATATGGCTTGACTGACTCTAGCTTTAGAGCAACATGAAACAAATAGATTATATCAACGAAGCAGCCGATAAGGTTAAGGAGGATAAACCATAAAATAGATGTATAACGTAAGAAGACATCATTGCTCTTCTTTTGCAAAGCTACAAAGCAGAGGCGGCCCTTGGGCCAAGCCAGTGAAGTCCATGCTTGCGGCCGATTTATTTATGACTATATTTCGACCACATTTTGAGATGTGAGGATTGGAGCAATCCGGATTTGAATCTACTAAAATACTTAGTTTTTTTTCTGAAAAATGGCCACATTTTTTTTTTTTTTGCTTCCAGTCTTCAAAAACCGAAGACCGGCTCTGCTACAAAGCGTAGCTAGTCATCTACTAGGTCTAGGAGATTATAAGTAGCTAGGTAAATGTGTAAAAGCAGTTAAAAAAATGTCACGTTACATAAATAATGAAAATATCTAGAGCAGTGAACGTTACGTCTAAAATTAAATTGATGGAAATCATGGAATCATAGAATGGAGTTTTAAGACATCAAAATAGTGTATTTGATTGTGTCAATATTAATCTCTTTTTCTTTCTAAATGTCAAAAAACTAGATCAATCTATTGTTAAGATAATACAACAACCAATCTCTCATTTACTCACACTATTGTGAGACAAACCTTTTGATCAGCCGGCCCAATAACGCTTCTCTCAAATGGTTAACTAGATCTTGTACAGTCTCCTTCACATCAGCTGACCACACCCATTCTGATAGTTCATGTAAACAGAGTTTTCGGTTGGTGAATGCTCTACTCGTCCACTTTTCACTGTTAATCCTACATTCACAGTGGCCCCGTCTATTTTTATCAAAATAATATTGTCTTTCAAACCGTATAGAATGGAACGCAATTCAGGCCCATTTCTCGTTTTGTTGGGCCTTATCTCTGTAATATGATGATGTCACCGTAGTAAGTGAATATATACTATTTCTAGTCTGTTATTCCGTTTGAAGCAAAAAGCACTGAAACAGAGAGACACTCTGTTTTTGTAAATATTTGCTACAAAAAGACTAAAACTTCTCATCAAAACCATTCAGATCTGCTGTAATAAGGGTTTCTAGTGCTTGTTTCATCTTATCTTCAGAACTAGGGCTTTCAGGTTGCGGCTACAAGCAAGAAGACGGTGACAAGACAATGAAGCCAGGTATCTCTTTTCTCCTTCCTCCCTTCTTTGCTACTCACTCACGAAACTGATGTTATGATAGTAACAGCTACTCCTGTGGATGATTGTGTTCCAAAGTTCTTCAGAGTGTACATGCCTGCTATATCTGGAGATGATATGGTAAAAACAAGACTTCTCTTCACTCTGTTTTTGCTCTGTTTTCTCTGTTTCTTTTTGTTCATTACAAGTCTGTCTCTAGATCTCTAGTTAGATTAAGACATATTATTGTTTTTTCAGGAGTTACCTGTGTCTTTCAACAGCTACTTACCAACGCCTCTGCCTAAATACGTAACCCTTAAAAGCATTTATGGGAAGATTTGGAAAATGGCTTTGAGGAGATGCGGTGGTGAAGTTGAGAGATACGTTCTGGTTAACGGGTGGAAGAGGGTCACAAAGGACGAGATTCTGACCACTGGAAACGTACTTGAGTTTGAATTCGATGGCTCGAAGTGTTTCAACTTCTGTATCTACGAGCCTCTCACCATGTGTAAAAGGCTCAGAAGAAGTTCAGTGCAAAGCGAAGAAGAAACTAAAGATGATGATGATGATGTTTTAGTTCTTAGTGATGGTGATGATGATGACGATTCTGAAGATGCTGATTACAATTGTGCTGATGATACTGATGTTATTCTCGAGGATGTTGCTGCTGCTACTGATGATGATGATGATGATGATGATGATGATGATGATATGGACGATGATGATGATAGACAATATCTGGATGATCGCAGCAACGCGTTTTTTCCAGTGAAAATAAATCCGAAGAAGATAAGCCAATTGGTAAGAAACAAATACATGAATGTTACAATCTTTGAGTTATGTTTTTTTTTATTATGTGACTAATAATCAGTTTATGTGATATTTCTTTTTCATGATTTGCAGGGCATACCGTCCAAGGTTATAAATGACTATGGCTTAAAATTCTCTGAGAGTATAACTCTCATCGATCCACTTGTGAACAAGTTCGGGAAGCTGACCAGGAAAATCAAGATTCAGACGAATGGCTGTGTGTTTATCAGAGGGTATGGAGCTGTTATCAGAAGGAATGGTGTGAAGTCGACGGACAGAATGATATGCGAGTTGAAGAAGGCGGGTAATAACAACTTGGTTCACACCATCAAGTTCCATCTTATCAAGTGAACTGATATGTCTTGTGCGTAGTTGACGTGGGTGTTACCTGTGTGCTAGTGTTTATGGTTATCTTGTTAAGCTGTCAAGGTTATATCAAGACTATGTTGTGGTGTGTATTTAGTTAATGTTTAGCAACTTTTAGTGGTATTCTATCCTGTTAAGTATTCAAGTTAATTCAAGACACTGTTGTGTGTAATGACTTCGTGTAAGACTTTTTAGTTTCTGTATCTTAATCAGATCTCTCGAGTGTTGTATTGTTTTGGTTAGACGAATATATCTCCTCTTGTCAATAAGGGGACAAGTATCCTATTTTATAATACAAATAGATTGCATTGAGCTTACATTGTTTGAACAAGGTTGTCCATCATATATTAATCTCAGAGACATAGTACATAATAATATGACAAATAGGTTTTGGTTTCTGTTTTTTTTTATTAGTCTCTGTTACATACAATGCGAACCAAACAATGGCAAAGGCAGTGCAATAGATTTTGGGGTTGGCCTTTCACAGTCTGGTCCAGGTTATTCAAACTTTCAGAGCTGTTTAGAACCTGCTTGTTCAAGTAAGAAGAATGTTGTTACTTGCAGTTTTAAATGACCTTCCATACACATTGACAAAACAGAAGATACGAGGAGAATAATCCTACAAAATCTTCCTTACTCTTATATTCACTAAACAGTTAGCATTCTCCTTTCAAGTTTGATCCATCAAGAATCCTACTACTACAAGCACTCTAGGGATATACCATCAAAATTGGGTTATTTTCTAGTGAATTGTTAAGTATAACGTGTTAACAAGGAGGAAAATGCAGCTTGTATAATGAGCAGAAGATGAGCCCTATGATCTTTCTTTCATACCTTGAGTTTGGTGGAGAAGGCAGGTATGCTTATGGTGGTGGTTGTGAGCGGTTCATGAGATGGAGGTGGTGTTGCTGAGCTGCATGATCAGATGGGTGACTGACATAGAGACTGGACATATTCAGATTGAGGAAAGGCTGAGAAGGATGATGAGTAGTAGCAGTGGATGAAGAAGGTGGGCGTGTAGCTGAGAGTGAGAATCCTGATGATGCTGCATTTGAGTACAGTGGCGATGCAAGAGCTGTTGAGGCTTCTTGCGCTTTCCATATCCTGGCTGGGAAGCTTTGAGGTGAATGTGACATAAAACCTTTCTCTGGTGCTCTTTCCTGGAGACGAGAAATTAATTTTTAGTTTATTCATTGCAATCTTTTAAGTTTTCCATTTTAATGATGACATGGACCTAACAAGCAAAAACATAAACTCTGCTCAAAACATAAAAGAGATGTGTGCTATGGTGTTTACCACGGGTGAAAAGAAGGCAGAAGGATGGACATGGCAGTTGATAAGGTGGTCTGAACCCCTCTTTAGAAAATTGAAAGGCGTATCACATGTTGCTGCAGTCATGTGGTTCTCCACCTGTAAGGGAAGAAACAAATGAAGCTAGGAAGAACCATGGGGACTCGAGAGCTAATTAATAGCTAAGTAGCTTTGAGTAGCAGACTGCAATGTGATATGGAGAAACAAACATTTGACTAGCGGTTGCAGCATGCACATGTAAAAGTAGAAGTAAACCATATATTGTGCACTAAAGAGAAAGAAAATGCACCATGGAGTTCTTTCCACATAGGTTACTGTTAGGGGCATGATGAAGCCATGGAGCCCTTTCTGTTTGCTTTGGACTATCTCCAAGGGAAAGGGAGTTTCCCAAACTAAGGTCGAGCTTAACATTAGCTATATAAGAAAAGTAAAAAACACATTAACAAACATCAAAGATGGCAGCAAAACCTGCATAGCAGGGACCAGTTAATTTACATTACCTGACTCGGGAATCATCCGGGATGCATGAGGCTCAATTAAGGAAGCAACCTCCCTTCCACTCCACTTTGTCGCTGCCTTATTATAAGCCCTGATTCCATCAGAATCTCTAGTTATAACCATAATCACAAGTAGGTCTTCCTACTAATATGGTACTAACAGGACCTACTTTCACATTAACGAAATATAACCAACTTTTTATCTGAGGCACATCACTCTCTCTTTAGACAAGCACATTGAGACAAAAACCACAATGAATATATCGTGTTTAAAAAACCAAAGTCAGATTCTGAGAGAAGTTTATTACATGTGTCCATTCAACTGCTTCAGTTGAGCTCCCCACCCGCCAATCTTTTGCATAGCAACTGCTTGATATCTTGAATTATTCCTGGAGAAACCAGAGCTCTGTCGCCTAAGTAGTTGCACAACTTCCTCTTTGGAAAGACTCGCCATCTGTAAAAGGTTTCATAAACACAGATAAGAACACATCAAAAGCATTCATGTCTTCATTAAATTTTCTACATTTAGTAATCAAAACCTGCTTGAGATCCTCTGCATAATCGCTGATAATAAAATTGATGTCAGCCTCCAGTCCCCTGAACTTGACAGCAGCTCGATCATACGCCCTACACAAGCAAACGTTTGAAAACACCCATCTTATTATATCATACAAAAAAAAAACATAGTTTGCAAAAGTGTTACCTAGCTGCAGCATGAGAAGTGTCAAATCCACCTATAATATTCAAAAAGTGAAGCTTAATTAGAGAGTTAAAAAGTAAAGCAGAGATCATCCCAGTGAAACCAATAGATTAGAAAACATACCTAAATAAACTTGTTTACCACAATCCCTGCAACCATGAAAAAATTGACAAAAGAAAAAGATTATTACAAGATGTCAAGTCTACCATGTTCTGTTCTGTCATAAGGAACATATCAATCAGACAGAAGTAGATTTTTACCAGATATGAGACTCCCATCTCCCTGTCCTCCTGTAAAAAGTAACACCTCTATACTGAGAACTCTTAGACCTAGGTCCTCTCCTGCTTTTCTTCACCGGCTGTGCCGGTGGCTGCATCACCCTCACAGCATCGTCCCCTCTCTTGGAACTAAGAGGAAAAAACTCCTTAGTCATCATCATCACATCACTTCTGTCTTCTTCTCCTACTTTCAGTATTTCAAACTGAAAGGCGCGTGTGGAGCAGAGCTCCTCCTCTTCACCGTCGATGCAGCTTGACGCCTCGGCATTGATTAAGGAAGAGTTCGACGTCACTGATTCATCCATCATAGTGGACTCAGTCGACGCAACGTGGAGATTGAGATCAAGCATCATTCTCAAAAGTCAACAACAAAAAAAGGAGAAAAATCTGATTTGGACATTTGATCAAAGGGTCGTAACAAGCTCTTACTAATCCGACCAGATCGAAAAATCACATTAGGACAGGATTAGATTCTGAATATTAACGGCCAGGATTTGCGGAGGATAGTTGCTGAGTGGTTTGGAAGAGAAGGTGAATAGCTTTCTTTCGCCGGAGGAATGAGATGAGATTATCGTCGGCGGGGGAATGATGGGACGTGAGCTATGTGGTTAGTGGCAACGAAAGGAACATTTAAATTGTTATTATTATTCGTTCCATCTTTCTCGGCAATTGGATAACCGGTTATGTCGGTTTCCAGTTCCATTTGGGGGAAAGACAAGTACAAACGTGCTAGTTATTTTGTCTTTTACTCTTTTTCTTTTTAACATTTGAATAATTACTTACATAAGATAATGAAGAGTCATTTACACTCAGAGGCAGTTTCTGAGTTTTTATTACACTATAGGGCACTTATTGCTCTCAGAGTAGTTTTTCTTAACTATATGCTAAACAATTAGTAACTGAGTTTATTCATCTAACTAAAAGGGTCCCATAGATTTTAATAATACTTTTTTCAGTTTTTGTCTTTAAATTTTAAAAGTCTAGATGACGTAGATCTACTCTTTTTAATTATAACCATTAGATTTTTTTTTATTTTAACTTTTGACATTTCCTTTATTATCTAGTTTCATGAACCTGGGATCTGTTATATGGAGGTGATGGAACATCCGAAAAAAAAAACGTGATGGACCTCAAACCGTGAGTCCCATTTCGCCGTGGCCGTCAAACTTGGGATCGGAGTTGTGGCCGCCGAAATCGTCGTGGCTTCAGTCGAGATTAAGGAGAAAACATGAAAGGACATCCAAAGGTCAAACCGTGAGTTTCATTCCGAGTGAGTTCTACCACAATCTGCTTCAAGGTCAACTCATCTCCTCCTCACCGTCGTCGTCATGCTTGAAGTTGTGGTCGCCGGAATCACTGTGACTTCAGATTCAGATCGAAACAAAGCTTGATCAGAGCAACCATGGACATTTTTTATTATTTACACATCTGATCCCCCTACTTTTACGTATTCTCCAATTTTTCCCAAAATTCTACTATGCTTAAGTTTCTTCACGAATTTGGTCTAAACTTTTAAATTTGCTAAAATATCAATGAATCATAACATATCAATATCGTAAACATCATTGTTTGTGTACATTGTTGTAATGTATATGTATGTAGTCATATATATACATGATACTGTGTACACAAATTTAACTATCCACATGTACAACGATTAACATGTACACAGTACACTAGTCAACTTAAATAAATGACTTATATGTACAAATTGTAATTTTATTTACAAAAACCATATATTATTTTTGGGGCCGAAACCATAAATTTTAGTTTGTAACTTAACTAGAAAAACAATTTTAGTTTGTAAAATAAGACAAACACTACTAAAATTTTACAAAATAAATAAAATTACAACTTTAAAAGTTATTTGGTGTTTACACGATACTATGTACACAAATTGTATGTTATCCACATGTACAATGATATATATGTACACCAAGTAACTTGTATAATAATACATAGACACCACATATACACCAAGTAACTTGTACAATACTACTTAGTACAAGTTGTGGTGATGTACATGTGTACCGAAACAGAGGTTCATATAATAACGTGTGGACATGTGAAAATGTGATAATTGATTTTTTTGTGTACATGTTTTAATCATGTACATTGTTAAAGTTTGTTTTCTAGATTATAATAAATACATGCATACGAGTTAGACTACCTNACACCAAGTAACTTGTACAATACTACTTAGTACAAGTTGTGGTGATGTACATGTGTACCGAAACAGAGGTTCATATAATAACGTGTGGACATGTGAAAATGTGATAATTGATTTTTTTGTGTACATGTTTTAATCATGTACATTGTTAAAGTTTGTTTTCTAGATTATAATAAATACATGCATACGAGTTAGACTACCTTAAGTATGACTGGATTAAGCAGAATATATTGTCCATTGTAAGAAGTGAGTGAAATTGTTAACCAAATGGGTTAATTATGTGTTAGAGAACAAATCTTTTTCTTTAAGTAATCAATTAGGAGAAAAAGGTTTTGAGATGAACTTTAAAAAAAAAAACAACAAAAAAAAGAGGAAATTGATTTTCTCAACGAAATGGAATTATGACCGTTGATCTAAAATGTGTGTAAGAAAATCTAATGGCTGAGAAAAGAGACAGATATAAGTCTTGTCAATGAGATCAAATAAAATCTGGGCCATCTATAGGGAAGAGAGATGTGCGGTGTAGAATTTTTCCTGCTAATAATATCATTTAATTAGCTAGCGTGTCAGTTATAATATGACTAGTTAGTCGAGATAAAAGGAAGCTGTTAGGATAAAGTGTGTGAGTAGAAAAAACTGTCTTTTTATGTTATTAAAAACATAAAACTGCCTCTCACTGTAATATTTTCGATAATGAAGCATAATTAATAAGATACTCCCTCTGTTTTATTATAAGTGTCACTCTACAGCTTTTCACACGGATTAAGAAAACAATTAATTTTACATATTTCCTATATAAAAACACAGTTACCCATACACTTAGCCATATTTTAACCAATAGAAAAACAAATTACATAATAAAATTAATAAATTTTGCATTGAAAACCGAAAACGACACTTATTTTGTAACGCAAAAAATTCTCTACAACGACACTTAATATGAAACGGAGGGAGTATGTGATTTGTTTACTGAACCAAAATATGTCATTAAATACTACGTCTTCTCTGTTTTTTTAAGTTGTAAGTAGTTTTAGTTGGAAAATATCAGTTGTAACTAATCATAAAAAGTTTGCACTAATTCACTAGTTATAGTGTTATACAATATCCAATAAAAAGAAAATTTGTATTAAAATGTGAAAACTATTTTATATTTTAAAATAAAAAGTATTTTAAAAATATTTATATTATGAGACAGTTGGAGTATTTTCTCCGTTTCAAATCAGATGTTATTTCAGTTTTTTTACGTAAACTACAAGAATAATTAAATATCCAATTTTACATTTATCTAATTATTAAAGTTTCATTGCATTTATTATAGTAAGGGTAAAATGATATCTTTAATTAAAAAATTGTATTGAAAACATAGAACAGTATTTATTTTACCAAAGCTTTTATTTTATTTTATTTTTATTTTTTTTGTTCAAAAGCTTTTATTAAGACATATAATACAAGTAAAAGGAGTACAAAGTCGATATCACGAGAAATTCGAAAAGAAAAAAAAACAAACGAATCTACTCATTTACAGCTTCGAAGACAAAGCAATTGTGTTTCACTTATGGGCGGGTCCTATGTTTGCAGGTATGTCTTTCTCGCCTAAAGAAGAAGGAATATAAGACGAGACATCATGCTCAATCACCAAAAACAGTCAAATATAATCCACTTTAGAGCATATTTATAAGAAAATTTATCAGATTCAGTACCATTGTTAACTAACTACATATGCTTTGTACAAAATTTAAACCATTGTAAGATCTGTCAAGTTTAGAGAAATTTGCATGCACATCAATTGTATGTCATTTTCTTTATAAATTATCATCGAATGAGTAAAGAACATGTGATTTGATACAATGATGTTTTTTTTTTGAAAAATGATACAATGATGTTGCCATCTTCAAGTTCTAAAATAATGAAATTGGTACTCTTTTGTTGCATATAAACGACAATAAACAAAGTTCTACAACACACATATACAGTTGAGATGAGTCATATGGCTCAGACTCTAGCTTGAGAGCAACATGAAACAAATAGATTATATCAACGAAGCAACTGATAGGGTTAAGGAGGGTAGACCATAAAATAGATGTATAACGTAAGAAGACATCATTGCTCTTCTTTTGCAAAGCTACAAAGCGTAGCTACTCATCTACTAGGTCTAGGAGATTATAAGTAGCTAGGTAATTGTGCAAAAGCAGTTAAAAGAATGTCATGTTACATAAATAATGAAAATATCTAGAGCAGTACGTCTAAATTAAATTGATGGAAATCATGGAACCATAGAATGGAGTTTTAAGACATCAAAATAGAGTATTTGATTGAGTCAATATTAATCTCTTTTTCTTTCTAAATGTTAGTATTATTAGTGGGGTAGGTGTCGTCAAATGATAAATTTCGACTGGCTTAGCCGGTTGCCAGAAGTAGAATGTCAGAACAAAAAAATCTCGTTGATCATGATCTTAACGAGTACGATGCAGCCATGTGTACAACAGAGATAACACCCCAGCCATTCAGCTACTCTCTGTGTCTTTCCTCATGTGTCTTTCTGATCTGACGGCCCACGTCTGTTCTTACTTTCCTCAAA